AATGCAAAACCTCTATCCCATCATAACACATGTCCTGGTTTCCATACTGAGGTCAGTACATCTTTGAAGTATACCGGCTGATTCAGTTCAGCAGTTTTCTCCTTAGCCCAGTGTCTTTCTGCAGCTATTTGTCCTTTCTCATTGGCATTAAGAAAGTTTAGTGGTAATAAAGCATTATGCAACCTATGTTTGGGGGGTTTAGACTTCCAAGCCTGTCTTTTGAGCATCTCCTTTAGTGTCCTATTGGATCTCTCAACCACTGCTTGTCCTGTGGGATTGTGTGGTATACCAGTGACATGCTTTATGTTATAATATTTGAAGAACTGTTCCATTTTTGTGGGGACATATGCTGGAGCATTGTCAGTTTTTATCTGTGCAGGTATACCCATAATTGCCATCACCTCTAGCAGGTGTGTAATAATGGAATCAGCTTTTTCAGAGTTGAGAGCAATAGCCCATTGGAAACCTGAAAATGTGTCTATAGTATGATGCACATATTTCAAATTTCCAAATTCTGCAAAGTAAAAGACATCCATCTGCCAAACCTCATTTCTCCAAATGCCCTTAGGATTACAACCTGCTGTCAATGGAATTTGGTTATAAAAGGAACAAGTAGGACAGTTTCTCACTATCTCCTTGGCTTGTTGCCAAGTGATGGAGAAGTCCTTTTTCAAACCTTTGCTATTTACATGATGTTTCTTATGAAATTCTGAGGCTTCTAGCACACTTCCAATTAATAAACAATCAATGTCATCATTGCATTGTTCTAGTGGGCCTGGCAGACCCATATGGGATCTGATACGTGTATGTATAGAGGATTGCTTCTGTTTCTGATTGTTTCCTGTAATTGTAAAAACAACGAGGTTAATTCCATATTATCAGGAACGAATTCTGCAGTCTCTGTGTGTAAGACAACTCTCTGCATATTGGGAATCAGTAACTATGTTAAGAGGTTCTGTAAAATCCGTGAGTACCATTAGAATTGTATATAATTCTGCCTTCTGTACAGATGTATATGGACTTTGAACTACTTTACTTACCTCACCTGCTTTATAACCATCCTTACCTGATTTGTTGGCATCAGTATAGAAGGTAAGAACTCTAGAAATGGGAATTTGTCTTATAATATGTGGAAGAATCCAGACTGTCATTTTTATGAATTTAATCCTGTCAGTTTTGGGATAGTTGTTGCTAATTTTCCCCAAAAAGTCAGTAAGAGCTATTTGCCAATATTCATTATCCTTCCACAAGGAGGAAATTTCCTCGTTAGTTAAAGGTACTATAATTTTTGCTGGATCGTTTCCAGTCAGTTGACGAAGTCTTAATTTACCCTTTAGAATTACTTCAGAAATCATTTCTATATATGTCTTTAACTTTTTATTCTGTTTATGTGGCAGAAATATCCACTCCAATATGGTGTCTTCCCTCTGCATCAGAATTCCAGAAGGGTATTCTCTGGATGGCAAGATAACCAGAATACAGTCTAAATTAAGGTTTATCTTTTCTACATGTGCATCCAATGTTCTGTTTTCTACCTATTGTAACTCTTTTTCTGCCTCAGAGGATAATATTCTTGGACTTTTTAGGTCCTTAACACCTTTAAGAGCCATTTTTAAATGCTTTAAGTCATGTCCTTCTATACCAATAGTCGTCTGTTGTTGAGAAATTTCCCCTAATAATTTCTGGAGAGAATTAAGAGTTTGATAACGATCTCTCCTGATTTGTACCTTTTGAGGTCTGATTCTCTGTAAGTCTATCTTGTAACCTAAATAGTTAATAGAATCTCCTCTTTGTATCTTTTCTGGGGCAATCTGTAACCCACCATTTCAAACATGCGTTCCAAAGTTTCCTTATTAGAATCTTATAAAAGAATATCATCCATGTAATGATAAATAAGAGATTGTGAAAATGTCTTATGAATTATTTCCAAAGGTTGCTGTACAAAGTGCTGACAAAAATAGGACTATTTAGCATTCCTTGTGGCAAAACCCTCCACTGATATCACTCCCATTCAGAGTGTCATTGTCTTCCAATTATAAAAAGCCCCGGGTAATAAATAAATAAGTAAAGCCATTACTTTTGTCTTAATAAAGATTTCTTACCCTTCAAACACACACGTAAAAAGAGTTGGTACAGTAAATGCAAATTTTTCTCTATCATTTTCCTGTAACGTATTGTGAAGAAAACAGTCTTTCAGATCAATTACTATGATAGGCCATCCTTTAGGTATTAAGGAAGGTAATGGCATTCCAGGTTGCAGAGAGCATTGGTTGAATTACTTTATTTATGGCTCTCAGGTCTGTCAGCATTCTCCACTTACCTGACTTCCTTTTGATAACAAATACAGGAGAATCCCAAGTACTGGTAGATTCCTCTATATGTCCAGCATCTAACTGCTCCTGTACTAACTTTTTGAAAGGCTCTGGCTTCTCAGAGGTCATAGGCCATTGTCCTACCCAAACAGGTTCATCTGTAAGCCACTCCAATGGCAGGGCCTTTGGCTCCTCTGAAGGTCTACCATTTGTAACTAGTTTCTGTACAGCCTGGATGGTTGGTAACTGTTTTCCATAGCATCTTACCAGATCTTTTCTACTATCTAAAGATTGTACATAATTTGTATCCAACACTGGAGGAATATTAATCTGAGTACTCCATTGCTGTAAGAGATCATGACCCCAGAGATTTATAGCTATATCTGCCATGTATGGTTTCAGTCTCCCTTTCTGTCCTTCCGGTCCAATGCAGACCACTGAGTTAACACTCTGTCGAACTCTAGATAGAGTCCCAATTCCTAAAAATTGTACATTTGCCTCTCTAAGAGGCCATTTCTGCTAAGCCAGTAATAACTTTATTATTAATTTTCACTTTCAACTGAGACTTTTTATCATTAATAGAAGTTTGCCAAAATATGCGTTTCTCATTTTGTCCATTCACATTTGATTCTTCATCACTATTCAAACTACCATCTAGAGCAGTATCATTTTCACAATAGGCAATGAACTATATATTCGTCCTGTGAGAGATTACCTTCCACTGCTACTGGGAATGACCGGACCTTTCTCTATGTGGGGGACTTCTTGAGGCCCCCTCGGGGTTTCCCCGGCCTTAACGGGTTTCCTTGCATGTCCCTGGTCGATCTACATTCACTGGTCTAGTGTCTGCCCTTACCACATCTTCTACACAATCCAGAAGGCAGTGGCCTTCTGTATGAGGCATTGTTAGAACTCGTTTGTCTAAAATTTCTCTTAGTATGTCCCATTTTACCACAGCTGAAACATCTAGGTTCCTGGCACCTTCGTGGTTTCCTGGGGAAGGCTCTTCCTACCCAAGGTTCTGGTTCATAGTAGTAATAACCTCTAGCCCCTTGGTACTTATGTTGACCTCTATAATGTGCTTCTCTTTCCCAAGCCCTTGTGTCTTCACCTCTAGAACTTTTAATCTCCTGTTGCCTTTTTAAGCCTTTCGAGATGGCTTCTCCTACCCAATCTCTAGTATCTTGCACATTACAGTCAATGTTGGCTGCATGCAAAACCCATTCTTCTAGC